AAAGATTCATGTTGCGACAAAAAAGAAAGAAGAAAGAAATGAGGCTTACTTTGTTTGGATCTCTTCCTTGTTGCGTGTGTCTATCTCTAAGGAGGCGGACAAAGAAGCCTGCGCTTCCTGGCTCTCCTTCAGTTTTCGTCTTAGATTTTGGATTATACGATCCTTATTCTGTTGGTCTTGCTGCTTGTCATCATGTGTGCAGGAACCTTCATTCACCTGCTACTTCCACAAAATATTCATAAAAAATTATTTTTCTTGCTTATTATAAAACAATTTCGATCAAACTTGAATCAACTTAAGCAGCGATTAATTTAATCAGAAGAAAGCTCAATAAAATAAAGTTTCAAGCTGTATAATTCATTATGTCTGTATGTATTTAATTTTTCCTTCTGTGTCAAATAAAAAAAATTAAGAATTCTATTCACGATTAAATTAATTGGAGTTTGATTGAAGTCATTATTATAAAAATTAATAATCTTGAGTATGTTTGTAACAATTCGTACTTCTTCCGTTTGCTGTAATCCATCATTGTTCCCTGTTTGGTTCATCCATTGTGCGATCATTGCATCGATAAACTTGCCGCTGCTTTGCGTGCTCACGCGAACTTTTTCTACAAGTTTCGTATGAAAATCATGACATGAAGATCAATTAAAGCGAAAGACAAAACTTACCTTCCTGCTGCATGTTTTTCTGTTTTAAAATAAATTTTTTAATTGATTTATAATCGAAGCTCAGTTCGGGTTTTATCTACTTTACAGCTCAAGTCGCAGATGCTCAGATATTTAAACAAAAACTTCACCTCGTTTTTTTTTACAATTTAATATGATTGGTTGAATTTAAAGGTAAATACCAATCACGTTCTACTTCTGTTATGTTCCAACATACACTGTCAGTATTAAAAGTCTACAGTATACGTAACTTAAACTATAGATTTTCAATAATGATAGTGCATATTGAAACATGACCTATTTACGTTTCTTACTTTTTATTTACTTTTTACTTACTTTTTCTCTTACTTTTTTATCTTCTAATTCTAAGGATTAAAAAAAGATAACAAGTAAATTAAATCGATTTTAAAGTTAATCTACAGTAACAAAAATGTAGTGGATAGTAAGCACTACTGGATTTTGCATCCTTGCAAAAATAAAGAAATCAAATAAGGCAATTTCGAATCAGTATATTTGTTGATAATTCTTTTGTATTATGATAATGTGCAATTATGAAAATTAGCAACAGAAGCTGTTTTACTGGAAATCCTTTAAATCCGGTTTCTAAGAGATGAAAATATCGCATAAAATAAACGATGCGAATTAAATTATTCTTGGAAAACATAAACAGCGCTCTGTAATCGGTTCGTATTTATATGAAATATCGCGCAGCATACTGCAACGTTCTCTGTCGGTCTATCGTGCAAGCATTTCACTGCACTTCGCGTTCAGCGAATTCAGCGTCTCCGAATTATTTTCAGGTTATATTTACCATCGTGGTGGAACATAAAAACTTAAAAAACGATATATTTTGAAAGAATATTCCCAACAAAAACGAACGCTCACGTCATCCTATAATAGTGCTAGTTTAAAAATGCAGAAAGAAAAATGAGTATTTAATTGAAGATAGGAATAATGATTTTTGTAAGATTTGCTGTTTTTATGATGTTATACAATCTGAAATTTTGAGAATCTCACACTTCCTTTTATCGCAGAATTTGAAATCTGTTAGCAATCTAAAGCAAATTTTATTTTAAAAAAAAGATTAACCATGTCAGGATTATTCGAGCAGATTAAACTGCTTTACGATCAGGCACTTTATTGCAATGTGATCTCTCTGACGAACTTGGTGCTCTCTCTCAGCGAACACAGTGCTGACTTGCTACCTGGTTACAGCAAGTTTCACGTATACGTTTATTACGCGGATGCTCACTTTCATCTGGGCAAATATCGCAGAGCAGAGACTCTCTACAAGAAGGCTCTGCAGTTCCGTAAGTGTCTGTTAAAGTCGAAAGGTACAGGGAAACCTTTGTTGGATGGACAGAAGGATCTGCCGTCGGATGTCAACATCAAATATCAGATTCACTTATGCCTAGTCAAGTCCAAGAATCTGCAAGAAGCTTTGCAAGTGTTACAGAGCATCCCTGGCAAGCAGCGTACTGCCAAAGTAAACATGGCACTAGCCAAGATGTTCCATGAGCAAGGAATGGAACGGTCTGCTATTACCACATACAAAGAAGTGTTGAAAGAATGTCCATTAGCTTTAGAAGCAGCCGAAGGTCTTCTTTCTTTAGGAGTAAAGGGTGTAGAGGTCAATTCTTTGATCGTCGGCTCCATCTCGAACTCGATGAATTTGGAATGGCTTAATACGTGGATCAAGGCTCATGCACACATTCATAATAGAGAATACACTCATGCCGTGAGCACTCTGAGATCATTGGACAATGTTGTTTTGCTTAGGGATAATTTCAATCTATTGACTATCATGGGCGAGTGTTATTATTACGCGGGTGATGATAAGAATGCTCTGTTGTGTCTGAGGCGAGCTCGCGTTATTGAGCCAGATATAACAAAAGGGTAAGTTCACATTTCGATATTTATTTATATATATTATAGGAATACTTATTATTTGTTACTTCTTTACAGGGTGGACATGTATGCTGCAGTTTTATACAAAATGCACCATATCAAAGAATTGGAACGGCTGATACCAGCGATAACTGCTAACAACGAATGTACCGGCGAAATTTACGTAGCAATGGCATATTCCCTGTTTGCTGCTAGAAAGTTCAGCAGAGCAAATACTCTTACTGCTCAGGCATTAAATCTGAATCCTAATGACATAGAGGCCACCATATTACGGGGTAATCTTCTTATCGAGCAAAAGAAGTATCAGGACGCCTTGTTCTTTTTTAGACACGCTGTACAATTGAAACCGTATAGGTATGAACCACATAAAGGTTTAGTAGATTGTCTTGTTGGAATGCATAGATTACGAGAGGCTCTGAATATCGCCAGCAGCTCTTGCAAACAACTTGGACACACTACAAGAGTTCTAACAGTGAGTTAAAGTTAAAAGAAAATGTATCTAAAATGTAAAAAGTAAAATTAAAAAATATATAACAATGCATTTTGTGTTTGCAGTTATATGCATCCGTCTTGATGAAAGATCCTGTGTCAGTAAGCAAAGCTAAGAACCTTCTCGAAAAAGCTTTATCTCAAGATGAAGTCTACTTACCTGCAGTGTATTTACTCGCGGAGATATACGAACAGGAAATGAATTTGGAAGCAGCCATCGAACTACTCGAGAGACAGGTGGAGATTCATTCTACCTGTAAGCTCCATCAAACTTTGGGAGACTTATGGGCAAGAATGCACAATGAGGAGAAAGCTCTAGATCATTATGTGGTAGCTTTAAAGTACATATTTCATTTTTGTAATTGTTGACATAAATTGTTTACATAAATCTATAGATGAAGCTTATCTAATTTTGTCTTCAGCTTGGATCCAAACAACAGGAGAGCTCTAGAGGGAATGCACAGATTAGATAATTCTTCTAGTAAATTGGATTCCGCTTATTATATGGCCGTTGGTGAGGAACAGGCTGATACGACCTATGATGTTGGTGATGGTCTGCCGGATACAGATAACGATGAGGCACCCGAGGAGAGTGAGACTGAAGCCATTTGGTCGGATATGGACTTGGAAGCTAATAGTCAGTAATCATTCTTGTTATAGAAATGAATAGCCAGCGAAAATTCGAAAAAAAATCGAAATTTTAGCTTCTAAACTAAGTCCATTAATAATGGATTTCTTGAAAAAGAATCTTTGGAAAATAATTTGTACGAATGAAATGAGACTGAGGTTGTTCGTGATTATTATTTGATAGGAATATACATCGTAGATAATTTACTTCTTTTTAATAAATTCAACGATTGTATCGTCGTGGAGCTCTGTTGCCTACTTTTAAAAATGTCAATGTTAAATTTTTATTAATTTCTATTACGAATATATTTTCATAAAATGGAGAACTCTAACATCAGGAGGATTAAGGCAAACAAACATGTACCCGTTATTTGTTATATTAGTTATATTAGCGTTACAACTTAGATTTCGATGAACAGCGCAAACTATTCAATGATAAAATATACATATATAGATTGTAGGAAGTCATAATAATAATAATTCTTAGATCGATGTAAAACAATATCACATCATTTGCTGAATAGGAAAGCTTATCACTGGCTTGCGATTTGTCAACATGCCTTTCCATATCTTTTACACCTGATATGTCGGTATTGTCAAGGATTCAAGGATAAAGCCTCAATTACCGGAAATATATTCGTGGCTATGTAACAATACTACATTCGTCAACAATATCCATATGTGTATGTGTGTGTACATATATATATATATATATAAACACATAAAAGTATTATTAGAATACTTTAAAGAGTGCCATTTAAATAACATAACTGATATACATATATAAATATATGTGTGTGTGTGTATATGTGTGTGTGTACATACATTTGACAGTACACGTATCGTAATAACATTCGATTTTTAGCGACAAAGAGAACGTCGCACCAACATATAAAAAAATTGATAACAATTATTCACAAGATTTCTCTCGCGATTTAAATATATAAGTTTATCGCGAGGAAAGTACCGATATTCGATGCAACAATTAAACTTTATATGTGCAATATAACATTTAAAATCTATACGACTTATACGCGTTGTTTGTTTGTGAAATTGCTTATCGTGTTTTCTTACATCTTACATAACTACGCATCTACAGGAATGTAGACTTTATCGGTCAAAGTCACAAGAAATTAATTTGCGCGCATCGGGATTAATTTACGTGACATATCTGTAAAATATTATCTTATACGAATTTTCACTCAAAATGGAAGAAACGATTAATTTAATTGATGATCAACCTCGAGCGAATTTATTTCATTCAGCCGGATAATTCGTTAATTAGCTGATTAATTCGTTTTATTTTCATTGCAATTACTTCTTTAGTATCTTTTTCATTTGTTTCGTTTGATGCTGCATACTATATTGAGCGTTCTCGGCCTTCGTGATCAAGGAGTCGAGCTTATTCAGATGAGATCCCATTTTCTGGTTGAGATCGATCTGCTTCTGCTGGACGCCGCTGTTCGCGGGCTGGTTCGCGGTGTCCGTGATGGTCACATCTGACGTCTCCACCGTTATCACCTCGTCGACCGTGGATTCTGGTTTCTCTTGATTTTCTTGCTTTCCCGCGTCAGGGTTCGGCTCTTCGGGCTTGTGACGCGGCGTTCCACCGCGAGAGTTTACCTTCACTTTGAGCAACGTTCCCAGACTGCCGCAAACTGTCTGCGGAATTCTTTATTAGAGGCCTTTTTCTTTCTCTTCCCCCCCTCTTTCTCTCTCTCGCGCGCGCGATGAAAAATATAGAAAACATACAATATCTCTTTGAAGACGTGTAACGTGTAGATTTATTTGTAATTCATCAGCGTGGAGTTTACGAATCTCATGACGAACAATTGATTTAGACGCGGTGGAGAACCGGCGGTGCAGGAGGGAAGCGTTATCAATTTGCGAGCGGATAAGGACATAAAATGATCCGTCGTATCGGTCGTAAAAATTCCGCGCTATCGTTATGACAAAATAATAATTAATTCGAGTAACATGCGAAATAAGTGCGCGCAGGCTCGCTCGGCAATTAATTATCCCAAGTCACCTTGAATCTGTTGAGCTTCTTCTGCGTGGTGCTCAGAATGTTGTTCAGCTCGTCCAGACCGCCGCTGATGCGTCCCGACGCATCGTCCACGTAATCCAAGTCCTAGAGATAAGAGAGCATCGGCGTGAGGAAATTCGTATCGCGGACACGCGTGAACGTCCGTCGGCGTTAATGAACCCCGCGACGTTCGGCTTCGCGACGTCAGCGATTTTATTCTCGACGTGACGGTCTGACTCGTAACTCGTTGCACGTGGACTCGTTGCAACCCGATTCTGCTGCGTAATGTCTGTCGCGATTGCGATATCGCCGTAAGTGCATTAGCCGCTCGTTAACATATGAAAGAGAGAGCGGATGAATGAAAAAAAAGGGGAATAAAAAAATTGTAAAAGCTGCAAGTATAGATAACTGCAGACTATGTCGCTCGGCTCTCTCTCTCTCCCCCCTCCTCTTGATTGCGTTCTTCTACGGCGATGAAAAAAAAAAAAAATTTAATACTCGTTGATTCATGGCCGAGGAACGTATCAGAAATAGCTCGTTCGCCAATGGGCGTGTCCAATTAAACAAAATTCGGGCTGTTATTTTAGGCATATTTTCAAACAGATTCTGCCTTACTTGAAATTTTTAGCGCAAGCGAGGCGCAACAGCGTAGTTACCTGTAACGTAGCATCGTCGTCGTCGACGTCGCAACGAGGATCCTCGCTCTGCGCCGCCTGCGACTGCCTCCACTCCTCCTCGCTAGGCTTCGACAAGCCTAGCAATTCTGCCCTCTCGCAGGCATGCTGATAGTCCTCGGACATGACGCTAGGTTCCAACTATATAACTAATATAACGATGTGGGCCGCTACCCGAAAACGTCGGGCGTCGCGACGAGCGATCGTTCGCGAGTACTCTCGGACGCGAAATTCCGTGGAAATCGTCGCGCCCTTGGCGTGAGGCATGCATCACTCAAAGAATCCATATTGGCATAGAAACTGCGCAAGCTCGACCGAAGGCGGGTAGAATTACGGATAAAGCTTCGCCAAGTCGCGACACCCTCCTTGGAAACAGTTGGACTTCGATCGGGGCTGATCCCGATTAAATATTAATTTTTCTCCTATACCAATTTCCTCTTCAATAAGCAAGAGACATTTTAGAACATTTCAGCAATATTGTAGCAACGTTGCTACAATATTGTATCATGAAATGTTCCAAAATGTTTCTTTACTGGATCGGTTTTGACTTTTTGACATTATTATCATACGCATTAAGATCCATTACGTGGCAGTATATTCGATACATGCACTTCCCAAGGAATACATAAAAGTTAATAAAAAATCAAAATGATTTTATAAATTATTTTGCCTGTTCTTGATTTGATTTGTATTATGCACTTCGTAATTGTATTCGTTTGCGTAATTGTATTCTTACGCGCGTATGTTTTATAAATATGTATTTCGAGCGCGTGATAACGTATTTAATTCTTAGTCTCTTTTTTTTCCCTGTCAATTCCAGGGTTGAGTAATAACTAATTAAAACGTTAAAAAAAGAAATTAAAAAGTTGATAACTTTTAACGTAATTTAATTAATTTTAAATGCATTAATTTTTAACTTAATTTAGTTACTTTTAAACTTTAATTTTTTAACTTTTTTAAATTAAAAATTTTTCTATCTCTCTTAAGGTTAATATTATTTTCTATAAAATCTTAAACATTAGAGAATTAATTTAGAAAAAGTTCAATAATTTTATCGTAAGAGATTCTATAATAAGAGTCACATTATATGGTAGTTTTTATTGATCGCTAGATTTTGTCAATTCCCGTTTATATTTGAAATAACACTAATTTTAGGTATCATAAACGTTATATGTTAGCAACATAAGTATGAAATGAGCCTTAGATGAAGAATTGTTGTAGAACAATGCTGCACATCCACCCATTCCACCCATTTTCTAAATTTTTACGTATATTTTTTCTAACAAATATCTAGTCGAATAATTGTAAACTTGCATAAACAGTCGTTTTAGAAGTTAAAGATAGATAAAGGTTAAAGAAAGAGAAATAATACAAACTTATATCCTTCTCTCTCGTAAGATTTTGACAAAAATACCTGATAGTGTGACTCTTATGTATGTATAAATAATTTACATGTGAATATAAAATTTAATTTACCTAATAATCTATACTTGTAAGGATTATTTAAAATAATCTCTTTTTAAGAAAAATTAAGACATTCTGATCTGAAAAATAATTTTTTTCAAAATTAACTTTTTTTTAAATTTAAGTTAATTCAATCTTAACTTAACTTTTATTAAGTTAATTCTTTATTCTTTCAACTTTTAACTTAATTTTATTAATTTTACAAGTCATTAACTTTAACTTAATTTAATTTAAAAAAACATTAACTTACCTAATCCTATCAACTTTGATATTTTTATATTATTATTATTATTCTATTGTATTCACATTGTATTATTAGATAGGCTCATAACAGCAGTCAGCTGGCGCTTCATATTTACACTTGCAATAAATTAAATTAAATTAAAATATTAATCTTCAAGAGGCTGAGCTACAGCAAGACAGATTGATCCGGTCTTGAAAAGTGGAACACAGTAGCTTCTAGATAAGAGCGCTTCCAATCCAAATTTTTAAGAGAACTTTTAACGATAAATGGTATAACATTTAGGAAAGCGGTTTTCGAGCGATTAAATACTTATTGTAGATAAAAAGAACGTAAAACGCGAGGCGTTAGATCGCAGTAAAGTGAAACTCGAGTTCCCAAGGCGGTCATCTCCATATCGTCGTGTTCATGATTAATTTCAGTTTCGTCGCGTGCACCTGGACACAACATAGTACCGCACAAACCGTCCTCACCCACGTGCACGTCATAAAGGCATACACGCGCACCTTATATAAGCTACGCGACAGCTTGATCGGTTTGCATTGTTGTCGGAACGAAGTCTGCGTCATCTCGCGAGTGAGTTATGACAATGTCATCGCGGATCGCGATATGGGAGATCGGATTTACTTTGTTCCTGCTGCTCGTGTTATCCGCGCAGGTAAGACGGGACTATCCCGATCTTATCGTGAAAGAAAGTTGGGAAGAAAGAAAGAGAGAGAGGTGAAGGAGAGATGGCTAAATTTTAATAAAATCTTTTAATTAATTTTTTAATTTTAATTAGAATTTATTTTTAATCTTTTTACTTATGTCACGTCGTTAATTTTTAAATTAATTTCAACATACATTAAAATAAATTGAAATTTATTTAAAAAACGTAAATTAAAATTTAAGTAAAATGCGTATTTTAGTACATTTTAATATTTATAATATTTATGTTAAAATATACAGATATTTTTAGTATTTCTATAAATGAAAAAAGATTGTGTAATTTTTTAAACTTATTAGAAACAAATAACTGGGAGCTTTTTGAGAGCTTTAGAATATTAATTAATATATGCGTTTTAATATTTAAAGCAAATTTATTTTTAGTATTATAAACGTGCGTTTGTGATTCTTTCATAGTAAAATCATATATATTACCCGACGAGAGAGATTGTATTCACCCATTTCTTGAAAGATTTATTGGGTTATCGTTTGTCAAATTAGAGACACCAACTCAACCAAGTTAGGGATAATAGACTCTGACGAATAACAGTATTACAGTATCGTCGGCGTATTATTGAACAAGTTAACAATGAGAACGCTCAATAAAGATCGTTAAATTCTTTGCGACCTCGTAATAACAGAAAATAATAGAAATGAAAAATCATAATATGCCAAATTAGCCAAATGGCTAATTTTAATGGGAATTTAGAGAATTAACTGATAAAATTATTAATCGACGTTTTTACATAATCGATCGGAATGAACATCCACCATATTATTAACTTGGATTTTTAGTCAAACTTTCTTTTGCAAATTGAATACTTTCATGTCGCAATGACGTTTTAAAAATAAGGCAAAATAAATATTAATTTTACAGAATATAGATTAATTAAATTACAGATAAATTAAATGTTTATCTATTTATTTACAAATAAAAACGTGTTAAAAAGAGAAGTTGATTTCTCTCAGCTGTTTCAGGGAGTTGTTTTATTTCTTAATTTCTCTAAGCGGTGGACTATGAATTCCACAGACGACGAGATATCAGTGAATTCGAACGACAACATAATCTTAACGAGCCGCGACTTTCTCGAGCAGCTGAATTTTGTGGCGCCAAAAGAGAATTACACATTGCAAGAAGCCACGGAGCACTTGCTGTATTTCGGTGCACTCCTGTGAGCGCGAATAGTCGACACCTTCGGCAGCCTCCTGTACGATTATTATGACGACTTCATTGATGTTGCGGAAGTAGATGCGTTGCACAAGATATATTGGAAGATCCTCGAGCGACAGTACGACGTATTCAACCTAATCCTCAGTGTCCTGAGGAATCCGGATACGAGACCGTCCAGGATCTGTGCCGAAATCTACAAACACGGGGAATCCTGTCTGAGGAGTAGCGCCAGCATCTGCAGAATCAGAAAGCAGCACGATCTTCCGCATCCCGATGATGACACAACACACAGCTGCGTTGAATATACGTACAGTGTATCATTCATCCAAAATAATGCAGCAATATTATTCCCAGAGGTTTCTCTCTGGCGACATTGTTGAAACTCCCGTAGCGAAAAGTGTTGGTAAATACGCCCAATTTACTCTTTGGACTTTTATATAATGTGAGATACGACGACTACGATGACGATATTCGCCTCGCCGAGAGGGAACTTATATGACACTTTCGTGAAATCTCGGAGACCATCGGCGAAATTTCAGTGTCGATGGTGGAGCTGAGGAAGTTCCGTACTATAAATTCTTTCCTTAAGTACTACATCGGTATATACGCCGAGAAATCTTTGGACAACGTTCTGAAAAAGTACGCGCTCCTGATTGCGAGAAGAATTGTCAACGATATTGGCATGATCGACGAGAATATCCACTTGCTCGGTAACATCTATGAGAATCAGACGATTCATATTAAATATCTCTTCGATCTCGTGCTATCTGACGATCTAATGGAGAAAGACATCATCGAGGCTAAGAAATACCTAGTGATAAAATTAAACAAATTTAACGTGGTGAAAAAGTATCTCAAAGTGCAGAAGTATCAGCAGGTCACTCCCGCTCAGCTGATGATGGAAATCACCGGACAGCTAATAGACATCGGCTTTGCCAAAAATATCGCGATATCTCTGCGGATGTACGCGAAATTCTGGTAAAATGATAAACTCTAATCAAAGAATCCATCATAAACTTTCTGGAGATGAGCGACGAATGCATGGACACTCTGATGTCGGATTCAAGATGCTCAATAGAGATCCCGTTTATAATATAATATCAAATACACGTTTTAACACAACATTACTAACAGACAAAACTACGATTCAATACAGTCCAGCCTATCATAAAACGACTACAGTGCCTGTTGAATCTATCACTACTACAAAGACTTCAAAAAGGTCCAAGGATGAATCTTCGAAAATTTCGATTACGCCGATGACAACTGTGATGACGACTACGAACCCATGGCGCCAACTATGGCTATAACTATGACAGCTGCGACAACTACATCATTACCTACAACAATTATGTTACCCACGATTTTCCTTGTTACAGAATTATTTACGGCTACATTGCCAACAACAACTACAACATTGCCTATGACTACCATAACATTGCCTACGACTACCATAACATTGCCTACGACTACTAGAACATTACCTATGATTACCACAGCAGAGTCTACGACTACCTCAGCAGAGTCTACGATTACCATAGCAGAGCCTACGATTACCACAACGTTGCCCACAACGATCAATACAACATTGCCTACAACTCCCACAACGACGACCATGACAACCATGATATCACCTACAATGGAGGTACCGATCGTGAATACCAACGTGGTAATAGAACTGAATCGTTCGAAGATCGTAACAAATGTTTTCACACCATACGTTGACTTCAGAATTTCGGAGATAATATCAAATGCAACATCTGTCCCCGCCTGCGAGTCGGCTGAATGCATTACTGAACAAAATATAACTAGTAAATATGTCGAAACGACGCCTACTCTATTCTTGACGACGCAATCTTCAACGACGACGCCGACGATACAGACTTCCATTCTTGAAACTACTGAGCCACCGCATTATCAAGACTTAATCACGGACTCTACAATTTCAACAACGGAATTGATTGAAACGCCGACGACGAAAGGTAAAATAACATTACATTATATTTTACACAACTCTTTTTACAATATAAAAGAGAAAATTACAATTTCTAATTGCACTAATAATATAGTCTTTCAGTTGAAAAAAAAATTCATTATCTTATACATATTTATTCATTTAACAGATACATTATAAATAAATAAACTTTCATGTATTTTAAACATACATAGCCGTACATAAATAAATTTCCAAGATTAACATAACATATGTGAAATGCAACACAGGCTGCGTGCAGGTCTGCTTGGAAGAATACGAATTCAACGCCGAAACAATGGATAGGTCCTGTGAAACAAACTGCGACTCCACACAAGCTGTGACGGAAGATTGCAACGAGAATAATCCTCCGGGGACGAGCTCTCAGGAATGTGACAAAAAGTATTGCGATACCAAAGAGAAGAGCGGCGAGTGCATGACCTTGTGTCCTCCGAAGAGCTCACTCTGCGAGAATGGCGACTGCGTAACAACGGGAATGCCACCGTTGATTATAAGTTTTGCGAAGTTTTGAAGGTTCGCGAGTACGCGACTTGTACGAGATCTCGAATCCCTATCATCGTCGTCAGTTGAAACGATTGGCGAAGATGCGGGCGAATAGCGTGATGTCACACGTCGATGTCTCTAGATCGAGAACGTTGCATCATCGAAACCAAATTGCGACCAAGAAGCGGCACAAAATAATAGACACCGAAATACCTTATTCCAAAAGCAAGAAGGTAACGGAATATATGCAACAAAAATCTCTTCATGGCAGGCTAAGCGAGAAAACGATAAAGAACAAAGGCGTCGCAAGGAACAGGAGCAAATCTACAGGTTGAACAAGCGGCTGTCGAAAAAACTCAACGGGACTCGTAAAACGATGCATCGTACGAGAAGAATCATAGATCCATTTCGCCATAGTCAGATTAAAAGGATATCCGAGAGAGGCGTGAAATTAATCGAACGCGTAAAAGGCCGAGACGAGAGTTTATTGATTTAAAATTACGTCGTTTTAACAAATAATGTTATTATAACTGTTATGTAATTATATGGCCGTCTTCATGTGCTCCGTTTAGCGTACTTTCCGTCCATTTAATCGGGTCAGAGGCGAAAAATATCGTGAAACATAACGGGAGAAGCTAATTATATTGAAGACAAGAACGTTTATCGAATTCGGCTAACGATTACTCGGTCCGGAGATTTAATTTAGTAGCTGTCTATATTTAATCGGACCGTCGCGAGATTCACATGAATTATAAATTATTTCTTCGAATTTTGCTTTCTCAAAGACCGTCATTGACGTCGCAACATTGATCAGAGTCACGTTAATAAGATCTCCTATCAGCGTTTTCTAGCAACGAATTTATATTACAAGCAGCTAAAGTATTTTTGAACGGTTAAATTGTTAGACATTTTTTTTCGATGAATTTTGTAAATTCTGAAAATAATCGTATTTTGATATTGTATCATGATAATTTTCTTCAGTCTATTTATACAGTTTGTTTACTAGACTAAGAAAATCGGCAAAATAAGTTTACAAGAATCGAAAATAGAATTTACGATATTCGTTGAAGATACAATTATTTGAGTACTTTGAGATTCTTCTTGTGCCTGCTAGAGAAGACTTGGCTTCCATTTTTAGCAAGCACTCGAACAAACAGCAACGCTCGACGTGCACATTCTCGTTCTGTGGCGAGCAAGTAGCGACGAGGTCCGACGCCATAAACGGATAAGCGGAGCAAACGATAGAACACAATGAGAAGTAAATTTGACATAGCCGGCGCGTAATCTGTCTTATTAAACGGTCCCATTCGCACAGTGAACGATTACATTTGAATTTATGCTCGAAATAAATAAGCGCCGTGTCGCGCTGTCGAGCCAATTCTCCATCCCCAGGATATTCCTTTACGACCAAAGCGAATCCGCTTCATTTCGCCGATAGTTATTCGGTCGTCAGGCGAGAGTGACCTTTTCCTTTTTTTTTTTTGCTCCGATCACGATTGCGGGATTGGTAAATTCATAAGCTTCTCAAACACGATCTCGCGCGGATGTCGAAGACACGAAGAAATTCCGACGTTTTAATCATAGAGGCGAACCCACGAATCGTTTTTAGTACAAACATATGTAAATATATAAACATATTTCACCACGCGGGCTCGTCCGCGTTCGTGAATTCGAAAACGCTATTAATCATCGATATTAATCGAGCGTTCGTAATTTTATCGAAGAGCAGGCAATATGCACGGACACGATTTCTAGGAGAAAGAAAACATGGTGGGATAATCATGCCGCAATATATCATTTCCTCAGATAAACAAATCCTTTCCTGCAAAAATAAGTTCGTACGGAATTCCGATTCCTCGCGCGTCAAGTTATTTTTAAAAAATAAGTCACTCTGAACCGTGAATTCCTTGTTGAAGATCAGATGTTTCCTCTGTCAAACAAATCATTGATACGATCTACGTTCCTATTATAAATTGTTTCTCTGTATTTTTTCTGAGAGCGGAAGCACAAAGTCTTACATAACGCATAAAACAAATACATAAAAAAATTGTACTAATCAAAGTCCTTCATTTCCTTTCTTTCCTTGAAATAAAAGACTTTGAGTGAGATTGATTTTTTTTAAGTTTTATGCATTATGCATTATGTAGAAGTTTATGCTCCAGTTTTAAGGCGATCGATTTCCTATGCAAAGGTTTTCTTTATCACCCTTCATCGATTTCGCGATCGAAAGTGCTGACTTGATTACATACGCGCTTGAAATTCTAAGGATCTTGGAAAATACGACACGAACGTGTAAATGAGTCCAGGCAAATTGCCGATATAATTGGTACACGTGCCAGATTACAAACTTAAACAACACCCGCACTGTATAGATAGAGCATGACTATCCGTGAAGTATTTACAAAGGCGTGCGCATACATATAATACAAACACAGTCGTATCAAATTGCTGTATTAATGCCGGTTAAATGAAATCGCGGAAATGAGATAGAAGTCGTAGCCCTGGTGAAAATTTTTCTCAGAATTTTTTATATAATTTTTTTAGAATAACTATTTAGGAAATTTCTCATTTTTTAAACACTAAATTAGAACACTTTTTAAAAATGCCTGTAAATAGTTTACATCTTTCTATTAGAAATTTTCATATATGTATTCTGAAATATTTTAAGATTTCTAGCATTTCTCTTTTTCTCTATAATCTCTGATGAAATCTGAGAAAGTTAAAATATTTTTTCAGAAATTATAGAAAAATCTGAAAGAATACACAAGTAGAATTGAAGATACGAAAAATCCTAAGAACATGTAGATTTTTTCTGCAATTCTGCAAAATGTTTCTATTTGTAGAAAAATTATAAGAAAAATTTTCACCAATTTGGGAGGCGAAGGAAGAGGAGCATCTCGCAATATTTTCTCTCTCTTTTTTTTTTTAAATATGAGTTTCTTCTACAAGCATCTATTCATAGATCAAGCAAATACACGAGTTTGCCCAATAAAAGATCGCACGCGTGTTTCAATGCAGATTTTTCTGCCGGAGAATTTTTTACTATTTACGTGACATTTCACGATACGTTATTGACATTTGCGGCCGCGAGCGCCGTGGTTAAATGTAACTATAACCAGTTTAAACCGGTCGCTTCCTAAAAACGTACAGGGACTGACCCGTATTTAACGGAGCGCGGGTGCACTCTCCTTTTTTTTTTATTATCAATTTACGTGACACTCACGTGTTCGTCTACAAGCCGCCTTTCGTAAAATGCCAATGCGCGCGACGTGTGTTTGCGGCGCTCGTTAAACCGTCAGCTGACAAGTCGGTATCGGCTGGCTCATGTGACCGGCAATTTGTATCGACGTACAAATTTGCGATTTGCACAGATATACGTCATCGCGAAATTCTAAAAAGGTAAACGGATGACGACTCTTGTCACGAGGGGAAGCAAATCGCGATCACGCGCCACAGCGTTGAGGCTGTGTGGCACATAAAAAATGTAAGCAGTAAGCAAATGAACATTTCGTTACTACTTACTCTCTAAAAATTTAATTTAGAGTTGAATTGTCGCTCTGAAGAGTGAAATCTCTCATGGGTTTTCTACGATAAGTCATTACCTGTAAGTCCTAAGCTTTAAATCTTAAGTCGTAAGAAACTGATCAATCATATTCTCGATTATTCTCCCCACGTCGATTGTGATTGACACTTAAGACTGAAATCTTAAGATAAGATTGAAAGCTTAATAGCTTGTCATAGAAAGCCCATCACTTAAAGATTGAACATTGAGCCACTCTCTTTATCAAGACAAGTTCAATTTTCACTCTTTAGAATAAGATTCCACTCCAAGGAATTTAGAGAGTACGTTATTGCCTTTTTTTGTACTGATGTGCCTTTGTGGTCGATTCGCTTACGGTTTACACGTATCTTATTACCTTACGTTTTTCTGTACATGTTGTAACTTTTACCACGCGACGAAACACGAGAAGATCCCCCATACGTGAGAGAATGCGATTATGGAATCTCAATTCGGGCAGAAAGAGTTTCGTTAACCGAAGCATCGACACCGAGACGACTTGCGTATGACCTTTCTTGTCACCTCGCTCGAGTGGATCGCGACAATCTGTCGCGATCAAGTTTTTGTCAAAGGGCAGAGCCCCGTCGTCGTCATCGTTAAAGATCGAGGGAGTAGAAGAGTGAAGGAAAGAAAGAGTTCAGCGCGTTGGAGGTTTCCACTGATGCCGTTGCTAGGCATCCCATATACGGGTGAGACAGAGACAGAAAGAGAGAGAGTGAGAGAGAAGAAAAGAACGAGCGGGGAATAAGCGACGGGCAAAACGAGAAACTCGAAACAAAGAAAGAAAGAAAGACAAAGAGAGAGAGAGAGAGAGGGGGGACGAGGGGACAATATTCCGCGCGTTTCGGCCAGTCTCGGCGGCCGGTCGCGCGGCGATCGGGCGTGCTCGCGTCTACCGCGATGTCGGCGATTCGATTCGATTCGGTTCGGCTCGGTACGGCGGCTCGGAGTTCGGAGTATTACGCGCTCACTTCAGTCAGTTCAGTCCGTTACGGTGCGTCGCGCGGCGTGTACGGGCGTATACGGTGCACACAGGGACGCGCGCCTTTTCCACGTTCAAGTTGAAAGGGGTAGCGTGTACACGCGGGGGAACAACGCGTCTCTCGTGGCGTCGCTGCGAAAGTGCGGAGGGCGCTCACGGGTGTAGGAAAAAAAAAACACCGAGATCTCCCCCCCCCCCCACTTTCTTTTTCGTCAAACTCGCTTTTTCTCTCTTTCTCTGCCCCTTTCGGGTCGCACTCGTAGCACTCGTAGCACTCGTAGCACGCGTCCCTGACATGCGGCCGGCGCGGGCGAGCATCAGGACGAGCCATTGTCCGTGCCGTTTGACACTCAGGCTACTCGGGGCAACGGCCAGCCGCGCAGCCGACTTAGCTGACTCTCGGACTCTCCCCGCAGCCACTCGCAGCCGTCCGCACCGAGCGAGCCAGCTGAATTCATCCGTCTGAACTTATCTTACCTGCGGATCGCGGCGCGGGGAAAAAGA